ATAATTAGTAGCCTGCCTTATTAATCCCTAGAATATTGTATAAATAGCAACTCATTTCATGGAATAGACTAAGTTATTCAGTCTCAATCCTTCTTATTCTAAATTCCATTATGGTATCAGAGCCTCTAGAGACCTAATCGGTCTATTCTCATCACCTTCCGCTCAACCAGCATCATCTTCATCTGCCATGGCTAATGAAGATAACAGAGACAAAAGTCCAGAAGATAATTCAACTTCATCTTTCTCAGCCAACAATCCCCTAACCCCAGATGGCCTTATTATGCTCAGCCCTAGCCAATTCCCAGAAAAACTAGATGGATCAAATTACCTTGTATGGAGAGACCAAGTTATGGACCTTCTGTTTGGTTCTCATCTGGACCAGTATATTGATGAAAAATTCAGTCCTCCTCCAGAAAGTGAAGCTGCCAACCATCTCCGATGGAAGAGACAGGACCGTCTGGTGCGGCACGCCCTTGTCTCTTCTCTCAGTTCTGCTTGCAAACCGTTGATTGGGTCAGCAACGACCTCCGCCTCTGTCTGGAAGACACTGGAGCGCCTATATGGGACCCGGTCAGCTTCCAAGATTAGAAGTCTGAAAGACCAGTTCCGCCATGCTAAACAAGGCTCGCAACCTGTAGCAGAATATCTTCATCACCTACGCACCATCGCGAATGAACTGGCCAAGGCCGGACGACCAGTTGACGATGAAGATTTTGCCATTCAAGCCCTGGAGGGTCTTCGTCCCGAATTTGAATCCATGGAGAACTCCATCCGCCCAGATGAAACCAACTTTGAAGACCTTCACTCCTTACTGGTCAGATTCGAAGATAAAATCCGAAGGAAGGAGCTCTTGAACTCCGCCGCTGTTGTTACGGTGAACGCAGCTACCGTCGAAAGGAAAGAGGAAGAAGATAATTCGGTCGCTATGACGGCTAGGAGGATTCCAGACCAGAGTGGGTCTATATTAGGCCCAGCCCCATCAGCCCAGTCTCAGAATTTACCCCACAAGCCCAATACTCAGAGTAGGAATTTTTCCAGAAATCAGAATCGAGGCCCACGTCCCAATAATCTCTACAACCAGAATCGAGGCCCACGCCCAGGGGGAAGGCGTACCAATTTTGGAGGAAATACCAGTTCGGGTGCTGTTATTAATGCCAAATTTGTGGCAAACCGAACCATCTCGCTATCAACTGTTGGCATAGATTTGAGCAACAAAATTATCCCCCCCAGGTTAATACTGCCACGAACAGGAGAGGCGGATGGTTACTAGACTCGGGAGCAAGTAATCATGTCACCAATAATTTAAACAACCTTACCTTGGCGTCCGATTATACCGGCACAGACTCCCTCATTATTGGTAACGGTAAAAGTCTTGAAATTGCACAAGTTGGGAATATGACCCTCCATTCTCTCTCCTTACCTAATACTCTTTTTGTTCCTTCTATTCATACTAATTTAATTTCAGTTGCCAAATTATGTCGTGACAATGATGTACTAATTGAGTTTCACCCTTCTTTTTGTCTTGTCAAGGACCGGAAAACGGGAGCAATTTTGTTACGGGGTATGAATAAAGGTGACGTCTACAGCCTGCCTAATGTTCCTGTTCCCTCAGTCAATGTTACTACAAAATTCTCTCTAAATAAGTGGCATTGTCGTTTAGGACATCCTGCCCTTCCTATCACTCAAAAAATTATTTCCTCGTTAGGTATTTCCTTTAAAGATGTTAGTAAGGATTTGTCCTTCTGCACTTCATGTGCAAGTAATAAAAGTCACAAGTTACCGTTTGCTAAATCTTCCCTTTCAAGTTCTGGTCCCCTTGATTTAATTTATACAGATGTTTGGGGTCCTTCACACATTAATTCTGTGGATGGTTTTCGTTATTATGTTATTTTTGTTGATCACTACACAAAATATATTTGGTTTTATACTATCACCCGCAAGTCAGAAGTAACATCAATTTTTCAACAATTTAAGAAAATTGTAGAAAACTTTTTTCAAAAATCTATTAAAACGATTTATTCAGATGGCGGGGGTGAATACGTATCCCTAGGGAAATTCCTGGCCTCTTGTGGTATTACTCACTTATTGACTCCTCCATATACCCCTGAGCATAATGGATTCGCTGAACGCCGACATCGTCATATTGTAGAAACAGGGATCACTTTACTTCACCACTCCTCCATGCCACTAAAATATTGGTCTTATGCCTTTTCAACTGCTGTATATCTAATTAATAGGCAACCAACATCATCTCTAGGCTTTTGTACTCCCTATGAAAAACTTTTTCAAAAACCGCCCAATTACACAAAACTTGCTATTTTCGGATGTCAGTGTTTTCCATGGCTCCGTCCTTATGCAGCTCATAAGTTAGAACCACGGTCTAAACCTTGTATTTTTCTTGGGTATTGCGATCAACAAAGCGCTTATCGTTGTCTTGATCCTACTACCAATCGCATTTTCATTAGTCGGCATGTGGTGTTTAATGAGTCTGTCTTTCCCTTCTCTAACAATCCAACACCAGTTACAGATCTGTCATCTGAAATTGACAATTGGCTTCAGCCTCCTATCTCTTATCTTCCTATCTCAGGTACATCACTAGCAAAGGCGTCTCCTGCTACTCATACCCCAGCGACACAAGACTCCCCTTATACATCCATGTCTAACCCCGCTCCATTAGACCTTCATACGACCCATACCAGTCCACCCGCTTCGAACCAACCGGTCCTCATCACTTATCACCGTCGGCCCAAACAAAACCCAACTACGCCATCCTTACCTAATGCACCCAACACCACCCCTTCAATCATCACTCCCACTACACATAACCCCATATCTACCTCGGGCCACCATCATGACCCAAATGCCTCTCCACCCAAACGTACCCACCCAATGACCCTTCGTCCTCGTAAACAAGCTAACATTGTCACTAACTCATCATTACCTCATCATATTATTCCTACTTGTGCTTCTCAAGCTTTACAGGTACCTGAATGGAGGAAGGCTATGTCTGTGGAATTTGATGCCTTGGTTCAACAAGGGACATGGGAACTTGTACCTGCTCATCCTGGTCAGAACATTGTTGGCTGCAAATGGGTTTATACTGTGAAATACAAGCCTGATGGTTCCTTGGATCGTTTCAAAGCTCAATTGGTGGCTAAGGGCTTTCATCAGCGCCCGGGGATTGATTACTCTGAGACCTTTAGTCCTGTCATCAAGCCAGTTACTATCCGAGTTGTTCTGACCATTGCCCTTTCTCATGGCTGGCACATAAATCAACTCGATGTCAACAATGCATTCCTACACGGGGCTCTCCAAGAGGAGGTTTACATGAAACAACCCCCTGGTTTTAATGATGGATCTGGAAGAGTGTGTCGTCTAAAGAAATCTATCTATGGCCTCAAACAAGCACCTCGGGTGTGGTACCAATCTCTCAGTGGATTTCTTTTATCCCTTGGGTTTCATCAATCAGTTTCTGATGCCAGCCTCTTCATCTTTTCCTCTCATCCGTCTTATATCTATGTGTTAGTGTATGTGGATGATATTATTGTCACGGGGTCTACAACAGCATTGATCCATCAGACTATTGACTTGTTAGCACAAAAATTCTCCATCAAGGATTTGGGATCACTACATTACTTTTTGGGCATGCAGGTCACCCCTACACCAGATGGACTCTTTCTTGATCAACACAAGTACATTACGGATTTATTACAAGTGTTGAACATGCATGAGGCGAATCCAGTATCCACACCCTTAGCTTCCTCAGCTTCCTTGACTTTGTTTGATAGTTCGGGTTCTTGTGATGCCACCCTCTATCGTCAAGTTATTGGATCACTTCAGTATTTAAGCCTCACCCGACCTGACACAGCTTTTGCCATCAACAAGCTAGCTCAGTTTATGCATAAACCCACTGTCAATCATTGGCAGCTCATGAAACGTCTCTTGCGGTACCTTCAAGGAACACGCTCTCATGGTTTATATCTTCGTCGGAGTTCTCACCTTTCATTGTGTGCTTATGCTGATGCGGACTGGGCGGGAAATCCAGACGACCGGTCCTCCACCAGTGCCTATGCCATTTTTCTCGGAGAATCACTTATTTCATGGAAATCATCCAAACAACGCACAATTGCCAAATCCTCTACCGAAGCAGAGTATCGGGCCCTATCGACAGCTGCATCTGAAACTCTTTGGATTGAGTCACTTCTTCATGAGCTTCGACATTCTCCTTCTTCTCCTCCGGTTCTTCTATGTGATAATAAAGGCGCCACCACCTCTTCCGCCAATCCGGTTTTTCATTCCCGAATGAAACATGTTGCTATTGATTTCCATTTTGTCCGTCAACGTGTGCAACGTGGCCTTCTTTGAGTTCTTCATATTTCCTCTCATGATCAACTAGCTGACATTCTCACCAAGCCACTTTCACGGCAGCGGTTTGTGTTTCTACGTGACAAGCTCAGGATTCTTAGCACTGATAGAATACCTGGCTTGCGGGGGCATATAGAAGAATCTAGACAAAGAAAAGTCTAGACAACCGTTACACAATTGATTAGAGTCGTCAGTTACAAATATTTGTATTTAATATTATAATTAGTAGCCTGCCTTATTAATCCCTAGAATATTGTATAAATAGCAACTCATTTCATGGAATAAACTAAGTTATTCAGTCTCAATCCTTCTTATTCTAAATTCCATTAATTTGAAGTTGCAGTCAATTGACTTACAGTTCATTTTGTGTGCATGTTGTTCACCTTATATTTTATTTGGGTCGTTGTGTTTAACAAATTTGATTCTTTTATTGGCACTGAAGCTTGTGTCACTAACTCACTATCAGTACTGTTATACTGTTACTCCATTCTTAATAAAGCCATTGACTTCATCTTGATGTTTTGATCATCTATATTTAGTGTTTTCCTTTTATTAGTTTATACGTGCTTTGAAAACATTTAGTTTGTAACACCTTCTTGCTTTGATGCAGTGTTATGCTTATAATGCCATTTTTATGACAGATCTTAAGCACACGAGCCCGCAAAAATGTTGTTGTGAGTGATATAAAGGTGAATGTTTGCATCTTTGCATTTGACATTCTGTATCTTAATGGACAACCGCTTATCCAGGAGCAGCTTAATGTTCGTAGAGAGGTACATAAATTCTTTCTTTATTGTTACATTCATATTTAATTGATTAACTTGTTTCTTTTATGTCGTGTTTTGTTTGGAAATGAATTGTTGGTTAGGGTTAAGATACCATCATTGTCCATCTGTGTTACAGTTCTCAGTTATAGAAAGAGTAACACTGTAATAGTTGGTGCAATAAACTGGACCCTCTCCCGTGTCTTACAATTTACATCAGAGACTAGGACAACTTTGTGTCAAAGCCTCTTTTTGTTTCTCCATTGAACCAAGAATTGATAATATTGCAATATGAATCCTCATTTTCCTCGAAATTAGGTATCGTAAAGGAACCACATTCATGTAGAGTGATTCGTAGGTGCAGGTTTGCATTCAGTTGATATTTATTGGTGTAGTTTATCACTCACTTTGCAGAAGACCATGCTCCATTATTATAATGGGATTGGGAATTGAGACAGAATAAGATAATTTCAGCATATCATTTATTTTTGTTTTATTTGTTATCGAATGCACCATATTAACTTTTTTCAGTCTACCTAGGTTCTTATGGTATTTCCCTTTGTGCTGATTCTTTTCCAAATATGAAGAATTAATATACAAGTTTCATGAACTACAAATTTGAGTGACACCAAATGTTTGTATATATTTCTTAACATCTTTTAGCTATTGAAGTTTTGCATGGGTTGTTGGTACATGCTCAAATTTTGTAACTTGAAACTTTGATTAAAGGAACATGGAGCACATATTGGCTTGTAAAGCCACAGTTTCAATTTGGATCCCCTTCCTGGGGAGGGCGGGGAGGTGGATACTGATTACAATTGGTTGACCCACTTTCTTTGGGTGTGTGTCTAAATCCATGGGATACTAATTAAGTTCCGAAATCTCAAACTTTAATTAATTGATATGAAGCTTATCTATGAGATATGAACTTTAAGTATTCAACCATTATTCATTCTCGTACTTGATATGTTCATATATGTTAGTAAAGTTTTCCCTCTACTAATTCTTAGTCAACCTAACTCTTTGCATTATCTGGGAAATGTCAATAATACGCTAGCCAAAGCTTTCCTCTTCTCATTATTGATCAACCTGATTTGTTGCTTTTGTCGGGACTGATGCAGTGTAATTTATTTCATGACATTTAGTAAGCATATTCTGCATGTATATGCTTTTCTTTTGGCTCCATATTAAAGAACTTTAATGTTTCACATTTTAATATTAGTTTTACCTTTCACACCATTGTATGCATTTGATCCTTGACTTTAAGGCTTCGTGCAGCACCTGTATAATTCATTTGAGGAAGAGCCCGCCTATTTTCAATTTGCCACAAATATTACATCCAATGATCTCGAGGAAATAACACAGTTTCTTGAAGCTTCTGTTAATGGCAGGTGACTCACCTTTTCCTCAGATATATGACTATCCTTCATTTTGTTTTTGTGCATGGTCATTGAACATATATGTCTACATTGCATCAGTGTTATTATTCTTCCGTATGAATTTTGTTGTCTACTGTTCTGCAGTATCCTTTCTTAGTTTAGACAACAAGAGATACTTGGAAGTTATTTTGCCATCTAATGTGATATTTATACTGTATGTTTAGCGCTGACAACATTTGCCTACCCCTAAAAAAGTACAAAACATTCTTGTCTCGAGAACAGCATAAAGTATATGGTGAAAAGTGAGTAAACCCAAGAGTTTAGTATTGTTAAACCAAAGTTATTGGACATGTTATGTTTAAAACACCAAATTGTTACATCATTACCCATTGACCTATTTTACTTGTAACCATTATGAAATGTGATGTGACAATTGTTCTGAAATACGTAGTATGTAGAAGGATTATTGGCGTCCAGTTCTTAATCTTATTTTAATAGGTTACTTCCCATAAGCATACATTTTCATGGAGTCAATGCCTTGTCTTTTTCATTGCAGTTGTGAGGGATTGATCATCAAAACACTGACCAGAGATGCTACATATGAGCCATCTAAACGCTCAAATAACTGGCTGAAGTTGAAAAAAGATTACATGGAGAGGTAATACTAGAAAACTAATGCACTGTAAAGTTATAAATGTACTTCTGGTAATTGCCTTATAAACAAGTAAAATGTTTGTGATATGCAGTATTGGTGACTCCCTCGATTTGGTACCAATTGCGGCTTTTCATGGCCGGGGGAAACGTACAGGTAAATTATCTGTAGACTATCATAATATACTTTCACGAAGTAATTGTTTTCCCATCATAGCTATTATTCATAATGTTTTCTCCTATAGGTGTTTATGGTGCTTTTCTCCTTGCTTGTTATGACAGTAACAATGAAGAATTTCAAAGCATTTGTAAAATTGGTAAGCAGTTTTGTTATGTTGGAATAATAAGTAAAGGTTTGAAATTTATCTTTCCTACAAGTATTCTTAAGTTACAATTGTATTTTGATCTCCAAAATATTTTATGGTGCTTTCAGGCACGGGATTTTCTGAAACAAAGCTTGAAGAATGCTCCACCAGCCTTCGTTCTAAAGTTATCCCAAAGCCAAAGGTTGTCTTACACATTGCATCAATAATCAAGTCCTTCCTTTTTAATTTGGGCCCATTTGGAACATAGAACATGATAGTGAAAAAAGTAGGGTGTTGATAGAACACAAGAAACAGAAGATAATAACAACACAGTTCAGCTCAATACGTATAATTATATGGATAAGAAATTAAGAACTCAATATTGATATCTGGGAATACAGTAAATATAATAAGAAGAAAATAAGGTCCAAACGAGCTCTGTTATAGAGGATCTCTCTCTCCAAGCCTATCAAATTCCCAGATATCTTTTCTCTGTCCTTCAGGTGCTCTTTATTCTCTTTCTCCACGTTCTGCCAGGTCCACCTCAGCAAGTTTGTTATTCCCAGCCTCCACTTCTTTTCTCTGTTCTTTTACCTTATTACCCCTTCTTTTATAAACCTTTGAGAAATTCCTGTTGGGATTAATAATACTGAATAAAGATCTGCTCGTATCATCACCCGCTCTTTTGAAAACTCCTTGTCCCCGAGATGGAATTCAGGAAATTGCTCTCTGAACAACTTCAAGTCTTCCCAAGAGTTTTCAAACTCCGGTAATTGCTTCCATTGGACTAGAACCTCCTGATTTCCAGTGGCTGAAATTCTGGAATCCAATACTTCCTCAGGCTGGGTTTGTTGCTCCCATTCATCCGATATACAAGCAGGGGGTGGCTGGCAATGAGTGTTTGGGTTGACTGTCTTTTTTTAGCAGGGATATATGAAAAACTGGGTGCATAGCACAACCCTCTGGTAGTTTTTAATCTATATGCCACTGGATTAATCACTTCAGTGACTTCAAATGGCCCATAAAAACGAGTTTTCGGCTTTTGATTTATCCTTTTAGCCAAACCCCGTAATTTGTAAAGTTGTATGTTCAGAAATACCTTATCACCCACCTCCAGTTGAATGTCTCTCCTGTGCTTGTTGGCCTATTGTCTCATTCTGTTCTGAGCCAAGTCCAAATTATGGTTCAATTCTTGAAGCATCTGATTTCTCTCAGCAGCGAGTCTTGAGACTTCGTCCACAGAAGTTAAGGCAGTGTCTTCCATTATCAAAGTAGGTGGTTCTTGTCCATATAGGGTTTTGAAAGGAGTACTCTTGATAGATGAGTGGTAGTTTGTATTATACCAGTATTCAGCCCATGCTAGCCACTTGGGCCACTGCTTGGGTTTGCTCCCTGTAGTACACCTCAGATACACTTCAAGGCACTGATTCACCCCTTCAGTCTGCCCATCTGTTTGCGGGTGATAGGCAGTACTATATTTTAAATTTGTCCCAGCTAACTTAAACAACTCAGACCAAAAATTGCTCAAGAAGATACTGTCCCTATCAGTGACTTGGAATGCCATGGAGTTTAACAACTTCTTGAACAACACTTCTGCAATTTCCTTGACAGTATAAGGATGTGACAGCTCTATAAAATGAGCAAAAATTAGTTAATCTATCCACCAACCAATATAGAATCTTTACCCATAGCCCTTAAGAGTCCTCATATGAAGTCCATACTTATGTCCACCCAAGTCTTGTTAGGTATAGGCAGCGGTTGAAGGAGTCCTGCTGGACTGAGATTCTGGTGTTTATTTCTTCGGCAATTGTCACAACTCCTAACATATTGCCGAATGTCAGTTCTCTTACCCTCCCAAAACAACACATTTGTAATTCTTTTTCAGTGTTCTGAGATGACCTGAATGACCCCTGCAAGCAGAATCATGGAACTCCTTCAATATGACTGCAATCTTAGAGGAACCCTTAGGAACTATCAATCTCCCCTTGTAATATAGCAGCCCTTTTCTCAGAATAAACCCCAGATTTGAGTCAGACTGAGCTACGAGATCCTGGATGGCTGGATCAACTTCTGGAATCTGGTATCCTTTAATAATCCCTCTTCCAAGTTCCAACCCTTCCCAATTCTGACACGTTACCACAGACAAGGCTGTTAGACTTCCTTTACTGGATAAAGCGTCTGCGGCCTTGTTTTCACAACCTTGTTTATATTTGATGATGATATTATGTCCCGTTAATTTAGAAATCCTTTTCTGTTGCTCCTCACCCAGCATTCTTTGTTCAGTAAGAAACTCAAGTCTCTTTTGATCGGTATGTACTTCAAAACATCTTCCCACCAAGTAGGGTCTCCACTTTTGAATCGCCCAAACTATTGCCATAAGTTCTCTTTTATACAAGGACTTGCCTTGATTTGTAGTAGATAAAACCTTGCTCATGTATGAAATGAGTCTTCCTTGTTGCATCAATACTGCCCCACTCCTGTCCCTGAAGCGTCTGTCTCAACAATAAAAGTTTTCTCAAAATCAGGGGCTGCTAGCACAGGTAAGGATGTCATGGCTTGTTTTAATTTTTCAAAAGCTGCTACTGCCCCTGGACTCCAGTTAAACCCATCTTTTTTCAGCATGTTGGTTAAAGGTGTGGCAATTCTGCTATAGCTTTTGACAAATCTTCTATAGTACCCCGTTAACCCCCCAAAACCCCTCAATCCCTATAAATTTTGTAGTGGCCAATCAACCGTATCGTGGATCTTACTGGGATCTGCAATCACCCCTTGCCCTGAAATAATGTGCCCCAAGTATGCCAATTGAGTTTGCCCAAACTTGCATTTCTTCTTTTTGACAACCAACTGATTTTCTTCCAGAGTTTGAAGGACTAAGCTGAGGTGATCTTTGTGCTCTTCTGTATTCTTACTGTAAAAAAGAATGTCATCAAAGAATACCAAAGTGAATTTTCCTAAATAAGATTTTAAAACCTGGTTCATTAAGGCTTGAAAAGTGGATGGAGCGTTGGTTAGACCAAAGGGCATTACTAAGTACTCATAATGCCCTTCATGGGTCTGAAAAGATGTCTTGTGAATATCAGTCTACATCCTCATCTGATGGTAACCCGACTTTAGATCCAACTTAGAGAAAATCTGAGCATGTCCCAGATCCAACCTGTCATTGCCCATACAAATGGTTAGTTATTTGAAATCAGCTTCCACTTTTCCCAAACCTGCTAACCACTCCATTCCCAACGCTAAATCTGTTCCACCTAATTCCAAGACATAAAAATCCTGTTCAATCGATAAGCCTGAATTCTAACCAGGAGCTTTTCACATTTTCCTTGATTGTAAATGTTCTCTCCATTGCCCATTTCCTAAATTTATCTGGGAAATTTATAGGGTGTTGATAGAACACAACAAACAGAAGGTAATAACAACACACTTCAGCTCCATACGTATAATTATATGGATAAGAAATTAATTACTCAATATCGATATCTGGGATTACAGTAAATAGGATAAGAAGAAAATAAGGTCCAAACGAGATCTATTAGAGGATCTCTCTCTCCAAGCCTAACAAATTCCCAGAAATCTTTTCTCTGTCCTTCAGGTGCTTTTTTATTCTCTTTCCCCACGTTCTGCCAGGTTTGTTATTCCCAACCCCCACTTCTTTTCTCTGTTCTTTTACCTTTTTACCCTTTCTTTTATAAACCTTTGAGAAATCCTTGTTGGGATTAATACTGAATAAAGGCCTGCTCGTATCAGGTGTAAAATATAAATGAAATTTGGAAGGACAAAACCACATGAGGGAAATAAAACATTTGTCACACAATAAATTTATTTTTTATATTTCTTCAAATTCTTTTTTATTTATTTCTATTATATAAAGATTAAGAAACATATGTATATGTTTTTGAAATATTGATCATAATTCATCTTCCTTTGCATTTTTCAAGGGAAAGCCAAAAATTAGAAAATAAATATCAGCATTTTTTGCTTCCCTAGCATTTTCTGGGATGCAAGCATGCCCTTAGTACTTTGTCTCTTTTGCTCATTATTTTTCCCCACATCATCTGCAGTCATATTACAGGTATGCCGAAACAATCAATCCAGATGTATGGTTTGAACCCACCGAGGTATACATACTCATGTTTATCTACTTGTTGATAAGTATTACTGATTTTCTACTAAAGGGGCAGCCCAGTGCACATTGGTGTCCCCACAATGTGAGGGTCCCACAACAAGGGTGTATAAGAGGCAAGCATTCCTTTGTCATTTTGACAAAAGGCTGCTCCCAAGACTTATCCCGTGACCTCTTGGTCACACTGATTTTCTACTGGAGCACTAATATAAATATTGCTACATCATACCAGTAAATCCATGGTTTTCACAGGCCAATTGTTTGAATGTCATCCTCCTCCCATATTCACTCTCTAAAGACATATATTGTTCCTTTTTTCTATCACAATTTTTTTCATTTTTATGTTAGAGTAAATGACACCAGCTGCTTTGGCAATGGTTGACATTTTTTATTCTACAAATTCTATTACAATTAATTTTAGGTTTGGGAAGTAAAAGCTGCAGACCTCACTATCAGCCCTGTTCACCGTGCAGCCAATGGTATTGTGGATCCTGAAAAGGTATTAGGTGTTTTGTCTCTCTGATATACATGCCAAACAAGGTTTTTGATCAAAATATCTTAATGTAATATTGCTCCAAACGTGTACAACTATTTCTGCTCCTAACAGTTTATGCTGTCTCCTCAAGTGTTAAGGGGGAGTTTGGTGCTTTCCATTAAATTATTCTTCGCTCTTGGGTGGAATTTTATATCTACTCTCCCTCTTGAGATTCATTTTCCTCCTACCAGAAGAGAATTGTTTCATTTTACCAATTATTCTCCTCCGTCAAAAGAAAAACCAAACAACAGAAATGTTCCCCATAATTACATTCGCTAGAAAGTAGTTGCTTTTCATGGTAGCAAACATCCCCTAAGTGCCTGAATTTGTGAGTTGAGGTTTTAAATTTCAAGAATGTTGAAGTTAATGGTCCTCATGTTTCTTCTTTTGTTGCAAAGGGAATCTCTCTGCGATTTCCACGGTTGATTCGTATTCGAGATGACAAGACTCCAGAGCAGGCCACATCAGCAGAGATGGTGAAAACTATTATTACTTGAACTATATTTCAGCATAATACTGGATGTTACTTATGCTAGTGCCTTTTTGTATCAAATCTTGTTGGGTCTGAACACCCTTTCTTCATTTTCTTTGTTGCGCCATTTTCTCAGGTTGCAGATATGTATACTGCTCAGAAACACAATCAACAAACTAATAATCAGGATGAAGATGAAAACTGAAGAACCCATTCGTCATACTCCAGTAGTAAAGCTGAAGTCCACTGTAAAGTGCAGAAGTAGCATCTTGAAACTTATTTATGTTATGGTACTACCTCTGTCCCATAATGTAAGATTATATGAGTTTGGTGCGGGTTTTAAGGAAATAAAGGATAAAGTGGTTGTTTTACAATTCCAACATCCAAAAAGTAAGAAAAAGAAAAAAATGGATCCACAAAAAGTAAAAGGTGAAATGATAGATAGAGAGGGTTAGGACAAAGTGGGAAAGTAAAAAGTTAGTCTATTCCAATTTAAGAAAGTGTTCATATTTTTGGGACAACCCAGAATAGAAAGTCTATCTTACTTGATGGGACGGATGGAGTATTATCTTGAAACATTATGCCAGAGCAACTCTAAATTCATCCTCATTTTTTGGATCAACCCTGCTATAGGTACCCCCAATTGGTACCCCAATTTGTACCTCAACCAATTTTTGTGGCTCACAAAAGCCCACCTCAATAAATGAATTGCCCCATTTTAATGAGGTGCTTTTGTGAGCCACAAAAATAGGGTGGGGGTACCAATTGGGGTACCTTTAGCATTTTTCTTTTTGGATAGACTACAGAAGGCTTCCAGTGGCTGGTTTGCCAAGGTAGTTGTATTCAATAGTAGATGGCGGGCCATAGGCACATTAAAGGGGCTTCCTGTGATGGGCTTGTACAAGGGTGTGCCATATTTCACCGCTCTTCAGATTGCTAAGGCTGCTTTTTAACTTGAAGTACTGCGTTCATTTTTCTTTAGGCTCTGTGTGTGGAGTAAATATATGCAATGTGCCGGTTTAGGCATCAAGTAGGGTAATTCTATTCACAACCCCCATTTTACTAAACGTAGTCATTATATTTAAATCTGATAAATGAAATAATAAATTGTTCAATTGTACCCTTTTGCTCTCAACCACTCCAAATTTCCAAATTTCACGTGTTCTTTTCCTCGCTGCCTTTCAAACTATCCAAACCTGTCTTCACCCTCAAGCTTAGAATAGATTTGTTATTACCTTGTAGGCTTGTACGTATTATCTCAAAGATATTGTATGGGAACAAAGTTAAATTGTGGTAAACTTCGTAAGATATAGCTGGAGAGTATGAGAGCACGAAATTATGAGAGAGTATTGTAGCTGTCCTTTGGAAGAAGATTTTCAAAGCCACGAATCACGATTGAATAATAAATACTTTGATAAAAAGGCTCTTCTTTTCGGCCATTTTATACTCTTTTCCCATAAAAACCCAGTTTTAATCGGGGCAATCCAGCCTGCTTAGCTGCAATTAAGCCATGAAGAGATCTGGGAAGGAGTAGCTCACATTGACCAGAATTCCCCAGTGGAAATCAAATTTGGGAAAATCTTCATTCTGGGTTCTGTTTATAGCTTTTGTTAAGTGGGAATTCAAGAAAATACGAAAGAGGAGGATCCAAGAACCTTGTTCTCCGACTCCAGTTTCTCCAATTCCTTCCGCATCTGGGCTTTCCCGCTATCACAATCTGCGGTTGTCTATTTTCAGTTTATGAACTCTCTCCTTCACGAAATTGTTTTCACAAATCAGCTATAGCTTCTCATGCTTTTAATGCGGCAAGCTTTTGGGTCAGTGCATGTCTCTGCATCTCAACATCGTACTTATCTTCCCCCTTCCATGCCGATCTCAGCATCGTTCAACACTTGAACACATCCCCCGTCGGTCAGAAGGATATAATTGTACAATCGACTATTTTATTTATTTTATATTTAAATATAGTGGTTGTGTTTAGTAAGATGATGGTTGTGACTAAAATTACCTCATCAAGTATAACGCGTGTACATTTTTCACTGTTTAGTAATGCTTTTGGGTGATCAAGTTAGCCCACAATACATTCTACTTTGCTCTGTGTTCATGGGACAATTCTGCATTTCATCATAACCATGTCCTAAAAGCAATTGAATGAAGTCTTAAGAAACTGAAATAAAAAAATGGCAAATGTTAACAACAGTATAGAATTCATAAAAAATTCATTCAGCAACGTGATATATTCCACTTTTAACATATGGAATTATTGACTACAATGTAGATGCTCATGTATATTTGGTTGATGTAGGGTGTGTTTGGCACAAGTAGTTGTAGAGATACTTGTGTGAGTTTTTTTTAGTAACTTTTAGCTTTAGTGACTGAAAAGATCTATGAAAAATGTGACAATTGTTCAATAAAAACTTGACTCTTTGTTTAGTTTTGTTTGATATGTTAGGTGTTGAGACTAATTAATGTTAAAACATTATAGACTTTTCTAAAATGTTATTCAATGTAGTTTCTCAAAAAAAAAGATCTTTTATTTTGATAAAAACTCTTTAGAAAATAAATACTTATGCCTAGCTATCAAACATGCATATAGTCACTGTTAGTCCAAAAAGCCAAAAAATGGCTCAAGTCATTTGCCAAACATTCCTAATAAGTTATTCAACAGTTTTTTTTGGAGTAAATTTACTAAATAATAGTACAACACGTATAGTATATTGGTTTCTAAATTATGAATGTAAGTATTTATATTCAAAATGAAACCCATTTATTCTTATTTTAGAAGGTTTTGTTGTTTTATTTTTCAATAAGACTAAATTTTATACGTGAGCAATTTTAACTCATTATATAATGAGATCGAGATTATACGTGTTAATCTCTTATTTTATCCGTGTTTCATTTTTTGATCTCATTTCAATTTGAACAAATATTCTTGTATTTGAATTTTGAACTCATTATATATGTAATTTCCTTCTTGATTATATGCCGCCTATCGATCACAAAATGTTCTAGTTCACAAGTATATTACACCAACTTTTTCCTAAATCAATCCTTCATGTAAATATGTAATCATCACTTGAGTTGTTTCACGGAAAATGTCGGATTTCCGATTTTTTTGCAAGCTTGCTAAAAAATTGACGGATTCACAACCTGGGCAAAATTTTGAAGTCGAAAAAACCAGTGATAGTGAAATGGTTCACACTTTAGTCAACTAATAAAAAAGATTATAAGATGAACAAGATTCATAAATTCGTCTCAAGATTCATAACAATAAAAGATTAAACGATGAACATCCCAACTTAAAAAATGGAGACGAAAATAATGATAATACGGACAACAACAAAAGTTAGACTTTTATGGTGATGGATAAAATAATACAATTAACAAAAACAAATAAAAAATGATCAGTAAACAAATAAATTAAAAAAAAATCAGTGATCTTAACAAAAATAATATTTACTACTACGTATGATTAATGATAAATTTTACACTCAGTCAACACGCGCATGTGATGATCAATCATTTTTTGTGCATAAACTTTATTTCAGTAATATTTAGGAAAATTAAAAAAAGAAAAATTAAAATTTTCGTTTGTACTTAACGTTTTTATTCAAATTGGATTTTACATTTCACATTTTACAGTTCGTGACAATATTTCATTCAAAAGTAGCTGATCCATACTCCGTATTAAGAGGCAAATGAAGATTGTTAAGTTTTGTCAAACAAGACTAGTAATGGTTGTGATTCTGTGAACTGTGAACCGTTGTGTAGAATTAATACATCTACCACTATTGCTATTGTCTGATGAGTCATGAGTGATGACCAAAACCCAGCTATAGACCGACTGTCAGTGATGGCATCATATAATAGCAATATTGGGCCGTTGTGTTGGAATACATCCGATAATATTTTAATCTTCATATTGGAATTATCTAGAGAATTAATTGAGCGGAAGCGTACCTGACTCCATTGCAGATGATCTTTAGAGATTCGGGAGATGGAGGCTAGGGTTTGCGTATTCTAGTTGATATACACCCTTGGGAATTATCTCTCTAGCGATGGGATGCAGTCATGCAGAAAGACAGAATGACGTGTTCAACTAGAGACCATAACCCCTCTATTTATAGAGAATGCTTAACCTTAATCAGCCCATCATTAATTACGTTAAGCCCATGGGTTTCTACACGATTGGGTCCTATACCTTATTAGATAACTCATTAGCCCACTTAAATTAATATCCATAGGAGCACTAATTTTTTGGGCCTAAATTAAGATAGCATATAACATATAATTAAGCCAAATAAATAATATATTGTGAATATTATATGTAGTATAAGTCCAATAATCTAACACGTTGAAGATGCCAGAGAGACAGAAAGTGTAGTGCCATTGAGGTAGCCAGGTATTCTGCTCGACAAATCTCGACAACATAATTTTTACTTTAGTATTGTACGTTAACGATTTGAGTCATTTGACAAGAAACACTTTGTGTTAAAACATATATTTTCTTTTTTTACTTTTCGGCGGAAGTTAGTATATAGTTAGGTTGGGAGAAGAAACACTTTGTGTTAAAACATATTTTTTTTTTTACTTTTTGGCGGAAGTTAGTATATACGGAGTTCGGAGAATATAGGTTGGGAGAAGATTCTCTTATCTCTTGCGGAAGAAGGTTGATACCGTAAAAGAGGGTAATATAGTAAAGTTGTGGTCCTGTGGACGGCCATGAGCAAAAAGCTAATGCAAAAAACCACTTAACCAAACACTCTAATTAGGTGATTAATCGAGTCAAAAGGTTAAATACAGTCAAATCAACCAAAAAATGGCAGACTCCTAACAAAACACCCCTTTATATTAATGGAAAAAATGGTAAGTAGAACAAAAGTAAGGAACCCATCTTTTGATCGCTCTAAAACGAGTTGATCAAAGTACGGAAAGCAGCTGGGTAAAAACTAGACAGCCAGTGATAATGACGGGCAAGCTAAGGTATATGCACTTTTTGACTTCCTGCTAAGCTTTGTAAACCTTCAGCTTTCAAAATGTACTCCCTCCGTCCCGAAATGATTGGCCAAATTTCCTTTTTTGGCCGTCCCAAAAAGGTTGGCCATTTCCATTTAAAGTAAGCAATATGTGGCTAAAGTTAATTCTCTCTCCTCTACACAAATTTTAACCACACAATTTTTACTTTATTAATCCACGTGCAAGTCAATAGTGGCCAACCATTTTGGGACGGAGGGAGTATTATTTAATATAATTAGGTAAGCTAGATAGGAATAATCATCAGATAATGACGTACTTAGTAGTTACTCCCTCAGTCCCAAATTGTATGATACATTTACTATTTACTTGGTCAACACAAATCACTTTTAATCTTGTATTTTATATATCAAAAGTTTATGAAATTTGAATTATTTTTTTCAGGTTTTGTAGCGGTTTTAATGTAGTTTCTGAATATGTAAATTTTATTTTCTAAAAATAATTTGAGTGTTGACAGGGATCAATTTGCTTTATCGTCAGTCAAACATCGTAAACCGTAATGTATCTTACAAATTGGGACGGAGGGAGTACTAATTAACATCCCCATTGTGATTACAATAATTAAATAAATACGGAGTTTCTCCTGATACATGATTACTTATAGCTGATACTTTGGTTTATCCAAGACTTTTAGCATGGATGAATTCATATTAATGATCACTACACACTTGATCGGTTAAGATATAACAATAAAATATGGATCTAATAGATTAAGATATTGTTAAATGTCCCACACCGGAAACATTTGGATGAATAAAGTGCTATATTAACACATGGGCTACTCCTCCTATCAGGTTGACCTTTTAGGATGGAACCCCGTGTCTTAACATGGTATCAGAGCCAAATTGATCCATGGTGTGGGGCCCCTTATGAATCGTGATAACACGATTATAAAAAACGGCGATAACGGCCGGATGAAAAAAAACGGACCGATGAAAAAAAAAATGAATGATTGCACGATCCAGACGAGGTGTCTGGTCGTGAGGAGGGGTGTTAAATGTCCCACACCGGAAACATTTGGATGAATAAAGTGCTATATTAACACATGGGCTACTCCTCCTATCAGGTTGACCTTTTAGGATGGAACCCCGTGTCTTAACAGATATAACATTAAAATATGTATTCCGTATTTTTTACTCGGTTTCTTAATTGAGTTGAACTTGGGGTACACACTTTTTGGTGTACATAATTTTACACATGTCTATGTAGGCTTTTTTTTGTCTGTACAGACAAAAAAGCCTACAAAGATATGTGTAAAAGTGTGTACACAAAAAAAGTGTGTACTTTAAAATTTTTCTTCTAAATGTCGGGAGGGAGAGAGCAACGTTGAAATGAGGAGCTAGCCTACGTATTAGCTGCACTTTTTTGCATTGACTAATATGTTAAATTTCAATAACAAAAATGTTTAAAATGTTGAAAACATTAGAGTACGTTAAATGTCAAATATGTATGAAACCCCAGATCTTAACAGAAATAATAAATCCTTCAACACGCCCCCAAGACTAACAAAGAATCAAAGATTAATCATTTTTTGGCCGGGTGGATAAATGTGCCAATAAACTCTAAACGGGGTATCCAGTATCCTAACCTAAAATACTGTTTACTAGCGTATCCAAACCGTTTTTCGGGCCCAATAATCGGCAGATCGGGGGGGGGGGGGGGGGGGGGGGGGGGGGAGTACAAAGAAATATAGTAGTCAGCAAATGTGTTTGTTGCCCTTCTCCTCGACCGAAAGATCTCTGCCCTTGTCCATGTCAGGGTCTCAGGGAGGTGCCTCATTAAAAACCTTTATTAAGGGAAATCCAATGGAGTAACTTCCCCCACCACCCCCGAAGTTAGAGTGTGATGCACTAGGAAGAGCAAACAGCACGCAAGAAATCGTACGCAATCACGAAATCAAGAGTGTGCGATATTAACATTTATATTCACTACAAGAATCTTGACATAATGTGACAATTTTTTTCGTCATATAAAATTCAGTTTTTGTCACTAAAACTTTTATGTGACGAATTTTGAGCGTCACAGTGATCGTCACCGCAGCTCCGTGGTATTAGGTCTAGGTGACAAATTTTTGATTTTGTCACCAAATAAATATCATTTAATGACGTTTTAGCACTTCGTCACCATTACTAATCACT